TTGTTTTACACATCCTTCCTCTCTTTTAATACTTATTATACTGGAGGCAATGACAGGGTTTATTCATAGGAGATGTTCTTGATGAAAAAGAAAAAATATCAACTGAATCCACTTATAACTAATTTTAAAAAAACTGAGAGGAAGACAAGAGAGCCAGGGACTTTGGCTCTTGATTTTTCATCTCCTTTAGTAGTCAAGCCATCTTAAATATATTCTGTCACAGGTAGAGTATAAATAAGTCAAACTAATTTTTCTTGATTTACTGTTTACCTTCCCAACAAACTGTTTTGCTTCATTGTAAAAAATAAGTATGTCAAATGGTGATATATTTAAATACATTTTGTCACTTATATTGTTAAATTTTCTACTCAAAATGTATAATCGTTGGGCTTCCCTGGTGGCGCAGTGGTTGAGAGTCCGCCTGCCAATGCAGGGGACACGGGTTTGTGCCCCGGTCCGGGAAGATCCCACATGCCGCGGAGCGGCTGGGCCCGTGAGCCATGGCCGCTGAGCCTGTGCATCAGGACGGAGCCTGTGCTCCGCAACGGGAGAGGCCACGACAGTGAGAGGCCCGCGTACCGCAAAAAAAAAAAAAAAAAGTATAATTGTTAAACTTCCTTGCATTAGAAAATAACTGTGATTCTTTCCCCCTTCTTCAAAGACTACCAATCCTGTGCACACTTTGCCCTTCTTACCATACTAGCAGGAGGAAAGGTATAATCTGGATAGCGTTTTTTACACCTAAGATGCTTTGTGAATGCTCATTAGCACCCAGGAGAGTGGTATTGCTTTGAAGTTTAGAAGTCAGACCTAGATTTGAAGCCCTGGCTCTGCCACTGCAATGTGGAAAGTTGGGCAGGTTACCAAGCCCTTTCTGAGTCTCTCCTTGGCTGTAAATGGAAATCATAAAGCCTCCATATAGAGTAGACAAGGTCTGTGATAATTTCAAATGCCTAGCAGGGACAGGCATACAAGTTCAATAAAAACAGTTATTTAAAAAAAAAAACAAACAGTTATTTCTACAACTGACCCAGAGCTGGATTTGAGGCCTCTGATCAAAAAGAAAAGAATAAGCATAATCCATTTGCAGTTTAGCTGAAAGCAGATTCACACAGAAGGTTGTATTCCAGGTGGACAAGCTATTCATCTAGCCTCAGTAGGATATTCCCAAACCTCACGTACTGACATATAGGGCTAAAGAGGCTTTCCTTAGAGGCTGCATTCCAAATGACAGGCTACCCTAATAAGGCCTCCCGAAGTTAGCAGGCTTTTTCCTCTGTGACTATCTCATATATTCTAGGAACTATAAAGTTCAAAATCTCTATGTCTTTTAATGTCTTACATGCCCTGTAGGAAGGAGCACTATTCAAGGACAAGAGATTATCCTGAGTACTTCACAGCATATATACTGATATTAAACAATGACAACAACAATGACAATCAAATAAATAGTTAACTATCCTTAGGGCAGGAACAACCTACTATATAATAAGAGGAGAAAAATAAGACAAGGATTTTAAAATTTCATTCCACCCAACCCTTCACAAACATCAGGAAAATACATCATTTAGCAATAAGTAAACAACTACTGAGCTTGAACAAAGCACTAATTTTTTTTAGTGTATACTCATGCACTGAAAACGGCATACAAGAAAACGTTTCTCTTTCCTTTACACGTCTCTTTTGAGTTATTTCTATTTCATCTACTGGACATGACTTTTCTTTTTGTTCTCTGATCTTAAAAATGATCTTTTTAAGATTGAAAAAACTTAGCAACTTGGCATGTATGCTCATTGGTTGCTGTTAAGGATTTTGGAAAAATAAAGATGAAAAGGAAGAGAAAAAAGGACTCATTAATTTGAGCCTAGTAATTAGGAATCTTATACTGCTTTACAATGGGTTAAGTTTATTTTTATATTACTTTTTCTTAATAGAGAGTTAATAAGCTAAGAATCACAAAACAAATAATCAAATAAGACAAACAGTATGTTCAAAGAATTCTAAAATCTTTGTAGTTTTACTTATGACTGTCTTTGGTGTCAGCCACATATTCTGGACAAACTGGTCTCATTGTTCTCTAAACACACAGAGTATTTTCTTACCTCTGTGTCTTTGCCCATGCTAGTCTTTCTTTGCAACTCCCCTCCGCCCTCCACCCCACATCCCTACCTTCTGAAATCCTATCCTTCTTTTAAAACCCAGCTCAGATGGTATCTCCTCAATAAAGCCTCCTCTAATCTCTCCTCATGCCAGAAATTCTCCTCCTCCCCAGTAGACACACAGAAGGTAGACATAAATAAAGCACTAACGCTTGGTGAAAAATCTTCTTAGGGGAGTAGTAACCCTATACGACCAATACTAACTACCTCAGTATCAGCTTCCACAACCAAATGAACAGCTCCAGTATCTCGAATTTGACTTAGAGTATACCACAAGGGAATTTAGACAGCATTTATGCCAATACTGTGTATTTTGCAAAGGATTACACAATACACTATATACATGTGTAGGTATACACACATGTATAACACACACATTTTGCAGATACTGATGCTCTGCAAAACACAAACTTTTTAAAAAACTAAGCAAAAACAAGACAAAATTAAAACAAACCAACAAAAGTAAACTACTGTCCTAAATTCAAAGCTAAAGTCGCTATTCATTTCTGGGAAACAAAATCAAGAGTTTAGTATAAGAACATTTACAGACAACTGGGGTTGATTAGTCACTTGTCTATTTAGGAAAGGTTAGAACTGTTATTCACAGAAAAAGGAAACATTGATTATCTTAATTCTAAATCTGCAACTGTTCAAATGGCTTTGTGATGTCTATTAAAGTAACAAACCAATCATATAGAACTATAATTCAATTATCTCTAGTGGAATATAAAGGACTAGAAGGGTCACATCTAATGCTATAACCTAACATTGTGAGCTCCTAAAAAGAAACTCACAACACTGTAACTGGATACAAGAAACAACTTGTTTACATTTCAGACCAGGGCCATTGAGAGGGTCAGAAAGACTTATCAACACAGCCTAACAAGAAAACACTATAGCTCCAAGAGTCCATGAGATTCATGATTTCAAACTTCAATGTTCACTAGTGACCTCTGAAGCTAGACAAACCAGGGCTTAAATGTGAGAACAGCTTGAGTCATGATGACATGGAGAGCCAATGGTGAGAAAGAGAGGCGGACGTAATTTCTAACCTAGTAGCTGCCTGCCTTTACTGGACATTGGGTAGGTTTTGTACCTTCTTTCCTCTAAATCCTCCAACGGCACATGCCTTTTAGCAGTTTCTTTGTTTATCCAATTTCCCTTTCAGTGGTAGAGTCAGTAACAGCTAAATCCACAGGGATACTCTCTTATTATCTTGAGATGCAACAGGAGAAAACTATTTCACTAGTTAGCTCTTTCAGTGGCCTTAGATCATTTCAATAAATTTTCTGAGTGGTATCTGAAGCTAACCCATCTTAAACATTATTCCAGAGATAACAGTGAGATAGATTACAAATATAAACACAATTTTTAAAAAGGTGCTCGTTTTGGACAACATTTTTCTCTTCTTTGAGAACCACTGCTTGGGGCTAAAGCTTTCAGAAGTCAAAGATGTTTACCCATGGCCATTCATCATTTCACCTAACAGATTTTATTAAGTTCTATTAAGTGCAAGGCACTATTATAAACTAAGTAAAAGCAGTGGATAGACAGATAAGAGCTCTATTGTCATCTAATGGGGCAGGCCAATAATAAATTAAAAATAAATATATAATAGTTTCAGAAACTGGTAAGTGCTATGAAAACAAAACAAGCCAGGACAAAGAGCCTTAATGTGATGTTGGGGTAACAGTGCCTCTTTAGAAAGGGAAGCAGGGAAGTCAGAGAAAACTCTCTGCTATGAGCTGAAGCCATGTGAAGATCTACAGAAAGATCTACAGCGGAGGAACAAACAGAGAGGGCTGAGGCACAAATGAGTTTGACGTGTTCCAGGAACAGAAAGTCAGTCAGTGGAGCTGGGACGCAGTAAGAATGGGGAAGTGTGGTAGCAGATGAGGTTAGAGATGCAAGCCAGAGTCAGATCATGCAGGGTCTTAGATGCCTCAGGAAAAAGCGTAGATTTTATTCTAGGCACAGTAGAAAGCCACTGGAAAGACTGAAGCAAGAAAAGGGATTTATGTTTTTAAAAGATTAACTCTGGCTTTGGTATAAATGAAAGATTATTACATACAAACAGATGCTACTAACAAATTACTAGTAAGAATAATTTGATGATAGAAATTTAGGGTAGTTAAACATAGCTTGTTTTCTTTAACTTGAAATTAAATAATGAATGGCTAAGAGCACCGACCGCTATCCCCCGCCCAAGAAAAAAAGGAAGGAGTTTCCTGACTTCAAATTTCTGCTCTGTTGCAGACTGGCCTTTAAAAAAGTATTCAATCCAAATTAAGGAGCAGTCATTCTGAAACCAGTTCTGACAGCCCTAAGAAAAACACATTTTTCTTGCTCAACTCACCTTACGACTCGCAGGTCTGAAATCAGAAGGACTGCCTCAACCATGATCCCCTAAAAGAGGCTTTTAATTAAAGTCCCCATAACTTGCAGCTACTAAATTGTCACTTCTCTCAGATATTTAATATAAAGAAATTAAACCTTAGCTCCTCTCAGTCTATTTGATAAGATGACTAATGATGTAAATAAAATTATAAAAGGAATAGTTTAACCAGTAAAGAGTTTTAAATCTGTAAGAAACATCTATTTACAAATCAACCCTTGATAAACTGACTGGACATCAAGCTTATCATTGTTGTTTCCTTCTAAGAACTTTCTGAGTATCTTAGTTCAAATTACTATAGATACTTCAAAGCAACCAAATTCTATATAATGTTTAAGATTCTACAATTCACATTTTCTCACTAGTTGATGGGACCATTCTTTTTTTTTAGTTTGAACTCTTAAGCAAACATTATTAGCATAAGAAAATATAATACATAATCATACCTCCACTTTAATTCTCTTCGGGGATAATTCATCTCTTTCTCCACATTTTGATCTGAGGGGAATGGGGGAGAGAGAAAAACTTGAGAAGGTAACAAATTTTTTCTAAAGGCACCTCAATCTATAAGCTTCCACCAAAACATATAACCCTGGAGCCCTGCCACCAGAAATAAGACTTCATAATGAACATTAAAATAGTGAAAAAGAGACTTTTTATCATTTCTAAATTAACGTTGGGGAAATAGGCAGACACAGTTATATTACACATTTTAAAATTATTGCACACTACCTAAGAATGCCTCACACAGAAAGTACTCAATAAGTATTAATGAGTACCACATAATGAAAAAGGAAAAAAATCAAGGAGGACTGTATTCCATGACACCCTTCATGGATCAGTATAATTTAGGATAAAATGAAAAAAAAATGGCCATTTAAGACAAATGCTTAAGGCTACATGAGATTAAAATGCATTTTGTCTATCAGAACTATAAATGCATTTTCCCTGGACCTAGGGATCCCTCTGCTGGGAATCTCTCCCACAGAAGCACCTACATATACATGAAATATAACTGCCAATTAAACGATGGCAAGTCATAAATTTTAAGTTATACCTCAACTTGCAAGATGTTAAAATGTGGAAAAATACACCTCAGAATCAACAAAATATGATATGTATGATGTTATTTACTGTGGTATTACTTATAACGGCAAAAGACTAGAAACAACTCAAGTATCCATCAACAGGGGACTAGTTAAATGAATCATGGTATATCCACACAAGGCAGTATCATGCAGCTGTATAAAATAATGAGGAAGATGTATATGTACTAATATAGCAAGATCTCCAAGACACGTTAAACTAAAAGCAAAATACAGAATAATATAGACACATGCTACTTATTGTTTTTTCAAAAAGTATAAGTGAGAAAACATATTTATTTACATGTGCATAAACAAACACTAGAAGGATGAAAAAGGAATTAATAAAAACTACCTACAATGAGAAGAGGAACAGAGTAAAAAGAGACAGAAATGAGAGTGCAACTTTTTTGCATTAGCTTTATACATAGTTTTGGCTTATAAATAATGTGAAAGTCTTGTGTATTTTAAAATGATTTAACTTTAAAAACATATAAATGTAAATAAACACTACAAAAAATAACTAAAAGCTGTTGAAAGCAGTCGCCTCTGGGTCGCAGTATTCAGAAAGAAGGGGGATGGAGCAGGGGAACCGCTGAGTTTCGTGATAAGCCTTGTGTACTATGTGACTTCATAAATCATGTACACGTACTGCTTTGATTAAAGAAAATTATTTAAGTAAAGCAGTCAGAAAGAAAATATTGTATAATACAGTGAAGAAAACAAAGTCACAAAAATCAGCTCTTGATCACTCAACTCAAAAAGAATCTTGTAAATAATCCTATAATATTGCTGTGTACTCTTATCCTGTTCATTTATTTTGCATAATTTTACTTGTTCCCAGTTTGTAAGTATATGGGCTCTTGAGATAGGACAGACAACAAAGCTGCTGTGAGCTGGGGAAAATAATGGTGATGACAGCAAGTGCCTGTATCGGTGGTTTTCAAACTTGAATATACACAAGAATCATAGGAGATGCTTGTGAATGTTTGGACTCTAAGGCTCCATCCCCAGAAAATGTGATTTATTAGAGCTGGAAAGGGTGCTCAGGATGTGTTTTTTTTTTTTTTTTTAACACACTCAGTCACACTAATGCATCTCCTCCAAGAAGCAGTGGCAAGCACAACCGATGGTACACTGGAAATCAGGGTCCATGTGGAATAAGTGAACAAAATCAAAATGGTCTGCTATCTACAGACAATGCTTAGGCTTCAAGTGAGGATAAGATGAAGAATAATAAGGTATGTTTACATTAAATTTTAAAATCACCACTGCTTTTCAACATGGGGTTTTTTATTTCAAACACATGTTCCATATTGCCCTTGCTAGTAACCTAGTATTTTCCAATTTTCCTTTAAATACTGGGCAGTGGAGTCTTTTTATCTATTCAGCTAATCTCATTAGATCGCAGACACCTTGCAAAAGGAAACACGTTGCTTCCACAGAGAGTTCAACAAGTTCATGTAGTTGGTAGGGTATACAAATAGGTCTATAAATGATGACTAACTAAATCCCATCATCACACTCAAAACCAAAGAAAGCATCTGTGTGAGAGAAGAATGTCGAGAACCACACCAAACCAATGCTATAGTCCTAGGGAACTATCTTTCAAAAGACAATAAAAGAGGATTAAACAAATCAATGAAAACCACTTCAGCAATAATGTTTTGAAAAGTCACTTCACTGTTTAATCTTATAGAACTATAATCACACTTCAACTTTTTCAGATATGCTTATATTCTATCAATGGATGGTGTTTCAAGCTCTACTTCTAACAAACAATGCAAAAATACTGCCAATAAGTTAAACACTTACTTGGTGGTTCTGTAAGTATATTTATAGGTGACTTCTCGAGAAATCTGCCTAGCCAGGGCAAAAAGTTCATCTCTTCTTGTCAGTAGAGCGTTATCCTTCACACAAAGCTGAGCAGCCGCTTCATTAACAGTGAGCTGCATGTTCAAAACAAAGTTTTAAAAATTATAAACATTTTTATTTCATCAATACAGAAAATGTTTCACTTAAGAATATAAGAAGTCACATCATTATATAATGAAATCATAATTTATGAAAATCAGGTTAGCCTTTACTCCTAATTAGTCCTACTGCCTAATTTCAGAAGCAAATCAAGTTATCTACATCTCTCAGAACTTGAACTAATCAAAATAGTCATCTTGGTTTTATTTATTTATATGCTTTATTTATTTTTGTTTAAGTAGGAGAGTTTATAGAAAATAAGCAAAATAAAAAGTTAAAAAATGTTCTGCATCTTATTTTGCTTATGAGAAACCAAGGGATATGATTTTATGATATGCTGATAATATTTCCTTAACTACAAGTGAGTATACATAGTCTTACAGATTTTTTTTTTTTTTTTTTTTTTTTTTGCGGTACACAGGCCTCTCACTGTTGTGGCCTCTCTCGTTGTGGAGCACAGGCTCCGGACACACAGGCTCTGCGGCCATGGCTCACGGGCCCAGCCGCTCCGCGGCATGTGGGATCTTCCCGGACCGGGGCACGAACCCATGTCCCCTGCATCGGCAGGCGGACTCTCAACCACTGCGCCACCAGGGAAGCCCCAGATATTTTTTTTAAGGTGAACTGACATGAAAATTCTTAGGAAGAAATAAAAAACGATTTTAGTTAAGTATTTATAAAATCAGTAAAAGCATTATCACAAATGAGGGTTATAATGGAAAATCAAGGTCTTGGAGTCACTAAATCTCTAAGATTCATCTAATTCAACTCTTTCATCTAAGTGCTAAATATTGCCAATATAGAGTTGCTAGTTGACCAAACACCTGTACTAAAATTTAAAATATCAAAGGTTATCCTAAACTGAAAATCTATAATTTGTTTACTAGACTACAAAATGTTTTTCACATAATTTTGTCAACTTAAATAGATGTAAGTAAGGAACTGCCAAGAGGTATATCAGGCTTTTTTAAAAAGCAAGAAACATACTCATTCCAGGCATGATTGACGGCAAACTGATGGGATGTGATGGCAGAGAGACCTAGGACGAGTCTTGCTCCATCACTTACCAGCTGTGTGATTTTGGACATGTAAAAACTTCTCAGAGCCTCAATTTTCTCAGAGGCAAAATGGGATAATATCACTACCTCCAAGGACTGTAACAAGAAGTAAGTGAGAAGACAGCTGGCACAAAGTTATTGTTAGTATTAGTTCTCGTTTTCCTTTGACAAAGAATCAGGCATTTACCTTTCTCCCTACCCAGTTATCCCACTTTATTCACAGTTTTTCTTATTTAAAATTTTTGAAAATACAGAGAAGCAAAAGAAAATGAATGCAGCATGCAGTCCTTCCATCCAGAATGACTATTAATATTTTAATGCATATTATTCCAATATTTCTCTGTGTACATATATACATGTGAATGTAGATGTGTAACTTCCTTTCCTTCACTTACGTATGCTGCATTTTTTACTTTTTCATATATTAAGGCAGAGACTTGGCTTCTTTACATCAGTATCTGGCATGGTTAGTAAGCTTAATAAACACTGATTGACTGATGAATGAATTTAAATATCCTGTACAATGTAATTTTTACTACCTAGACATATAATATTACATTGTAGAAAATAGCAATATATTATTTAAATCAACCTCACTCTGGACATTACCCTCATTTTTCATGTACTACAAAGAAAGCTGCAAAGAGCATTCTTTGTGCATCTTTACACACATATTCAGTTATTTACTTGGAATAAATTAGTACAAAGAAACTTCTTGGTCACAGAATATACTAAATTTTAAGAGATTTACATATTTCATCAAATTACTCTCCAAAAAAATTGTTTCAAATCTTAATGCTACCAACAATTATATGAAGAGTTCATTTCCCAGAATCTTGACCAACACTGGCTGTTATCTAAAAGCTTTACCAATCTGATGTATTTTCAATGACTTTTGGTTATAATTTGCATTTCTTTGGCTATAACACTGAAATTTTTATGTTTTTGACTTATTTTAAAATCTGCTTGCTCATGGTAGCTGCCTGTTTCTTCTATTCCACTATTTTGTTTCTTAGGGACTTAAGGAATTCGTTATGTATGAAGAGCATTAACTCTTCATATGTAGTGGTTTTGTTTTTTTATTTTTTCATAGTTTGTCATTAGCCCTATAGTTTTGTCTTGAGTGCTATGCACAGAAGCTCCCTTCTTACCCTAATACATATAAATGTTCTCCTATAATCTAGTCTAATAGTTTTATTTTTTTCCACATATTTACTCCATCTAGAATGTGTTATGGTATGCAGTATATGGTATGATATAGGTATCTAATATCCTCCTCCCCAGATTTCCAACTGTAGGTTACACTGGCTTATTCTCAAATACAGGCATACCTCATTTTATTGTGCTTTGCTTTATTGCACTTTGCAGATACTAATTTTTTTACAAATTGAAGGTCTGTGGCAACCCTGTGTTATCAGATGATGGTTAGCATTTTTTAGCAATAAAATATTTTTTAATTAAGGTATGTACTTTTTTTTAGACATAATGCTGCTGCACACAATACACTACAGTATAGTGTAAATATAACTTTTATATGCACTGGGAAACCAAAAAAAATTTGTGTGTCTCACTTTATTGTGGCGGTTTGGAACCAAACCTGCAATATCACCAATATGCTTGTAATGTGGCTACTGGCAGCAAGGTTACAATAAGCCCAGGCTTCTTATTTTAAACCCATAACTGAATATAAAAACATAATAGGAGGAATTTATTTTCAGCTTTCTCCCCTCCTCCTAAAGAATCCTCAGTATATCAATTTCTTCCCTAAGTGCTTTTGACAGGCACAATGTTACAGGAGTTAAAAGTAAAACATACTTCAAAGAATAATCTCCTAAATAAATTAACTTCAATTTCAGCTTAGCAGTAGCTACAATGACCTTGAAAGATCCTTCTCAAGTTGCTTTTTATGTAGCTGTTTCTCTTTTGTACTCATAAATCTAAATTAGTATGGAGAAATTCTGATTGTCAGTAAGATATTTTAATTGACAACATTCAGAGGTACCAGCTCATTCAAAACTGCAGAAAATAAAACAATATTCTAGGATTCCTTCCATCATCCTACCAGAAACCAAGAAAAAAAAACATAACACAATCTTTGTTACTGAATTCAGGCTCCAACAGACCGAAAAACTATACTGAACTCTCCAGGCCCTCAGAGAGCCTTCTGGTAGAAAAACTGAGGCTGGAGAAATAATTATAGCTCACCCCAAGTTGTAACATGAAGCTGATTCATCAAGCTTTCCCCTCAAAAATGTATTTTCTGTATCTTCTCGATTTCATGCTCCCAGTTGCTAATAATTAAATCAATAACTATTATGATATATTTTAAATAGAAAAATGATACAAATACTCCAAAACCAGTAATCATTCACTGCAGCACCAAGCTAGCTTTTTAAAAGTTTTAAGTTTCTAATTTTGTTAAAAGTATAAAATAAGATATTCTCCCTCATTGGTTTACTTACTTCCTCCACTTCCTCCTTTCATGGCTAAAAATACCAAAATTCCATTCATATCTTCATGTAAAAGATTTCTTAAAGTTAGCTTTCTATTATTTTTAACTAGATTTTAAAACTTTCTCTACTGGTAGTTATAATCTTTAACAATCAAATGATTGTGACTTTCAATTAAGTTTCAAGTAAGTGTTAGCATAAAAATACTACATGAATGCTGTGTGACAGGGATGTGTGATAGGGAGGCTCTAAAGGCAATCAAGACTTTCATTTCTAGCACAGGGAGGGCTAGGTACCGTGACCGGCCCCTCTCACATTTCTCACAGGAAAAATGTTGGCTAAAATAGAAGGAAAAAATATCTTAAATGCATCAATAAGCCAGCAAGACAGTAAGAATGATTCAGGCCAAAATGAATGAAGACAGTATCTCAAAGGAGTAAGTTGAGGACAGTTGCTAAACCAGATGAACTTCAATCTTTACACCCTCATTGGGCTGGTGAGTGTGGGAAGAGAATAACAGGAAAAGCCGAGTATCCATCAAAGGTGAGGCTGAGGAGTCTACGAAAAACAATACGAAAGTACTACAGCCTGATGCAAGACAGAATTAGAAATATACCCATACCCCACAGGAGAATGCAAGGAGAATTACCTGTCTTTAACCTTGTTACAAAATGGGAGAGAACAGAAGATACTCTCCTGAGATTTCATAACCCCAAATCAGCTCTTCACATGGATTTTCAGCCCTAATTCACACTAAACAGCCTGAGAATTAATTTTCATAGGGTCCCAGAGTTGTTATGTGCAGAGTACAGGTGCCTGGTAGAAGCAAAAACAGCCTCTAGGAGAATCCATTTTCTTCCTAGGCCTCAAAACATTTCCACAGTTCCAAGAAATATGAGTTCATAGACAGAAATCATAAAACATCCAAAGAAACAAGGAACCAAAAGTAAAAACCAGCAGAAACAACAGACAGCAGAAACAGACCCTCAAAGATTTCATTTAAAGAAATAAAAGGAGTTGAAAATATGACTAAAGAGTAATATAGTAAAAATGACTAAGAAAAATTGAGAAGTCAGAAGGAGAGAAGAAATTGGGGCACGGTAAAACAGAAGATTTCAAAAGCAGACAATAGTCAGATAACCACTGGCTTCTAAACACAACAATGAAAGCTGAAGGCCAAGGAAATGATATCTTCAATTACTAACAGAAAATAACTGACAATATAGAATTTGATACCCAGAATAAGTAGCAATTAAGAATGAGGGCAAAATAAAGATATTTTCCAATGGGGTGAGGAAGGACAGAGTTTGCTATCAGTAGGCCTTCATTAAGAAAATTCTACATAATGCACTTCAGGCTAAAGGACACTAATTCCAGATGGTAAATCTGAGATATAAAGAGGAGGAAGGGAAGAAATACAAAATAAAATAAAGGAAATAAATTCAAAACATCAGTCATTATAATAAA